AAAAGCGTCCTATCCTCTACCCCTGTCCTCCACTTTCCCGATTTCTCTCGAGAATTTTTCGTTCACACCGACGCCTCCGAACAAGGCGTAGGCGCTTTCCTCGCTCAATCATCACGCGATAGTGCCGACGGTAAAGAACTCGATATCGTCGCGTTTTACAGTAAACGTTTTTCAAAAGGCCAACGCCATTACAGCGCTACCATGAAAGAATGCATTGCGGTTGTCTGGGCCCTCACCCACTGGCGCCCATACCTTTGGGGGCGTCACTTTACGTGTAGCACCAATCATCAAGCGCTCACGTATCTGTACCACATGTAAGGCACGTCAAACATGTTGACGCGCTGGGCTATCGCACTCCAGAACTACGATTTCGCTGTCAAACACGTGCCGGGGAAACACAACGTCGTCCCCGACGCTCTGTCTCGTACTTCTAGCGAGGTTTATGGCAACCCCGTGCCGTCCGAACCAAGCCTTGCGGCGATCTGTCGCAACGTNGTAGCACCAATCATCAAGCGCTCACGTATCTGTACCACATGTAAGGCACGTCAAACATGTTGACGCGCTGGGCTATCGCACTCCAGAACTACGATTTCGCTGTCAAACACGTGCCGGGGAAACACAACGTCGTCCCCGACGCTCTGTCTCGTNCTACCCCTGTCCTCCACTTTCCCGATTTCTCTCGAGAATTTTTCGTTCACACCGACGCCTCCGAACAAGGCGTAGGCGCTTTCCTCGCTCAATCATCACGCGATAGTGCCGACGGTAAAGAACTCGATATCGTCGCGTTTTACAGTAAACGTTTTTCAAAAGGCCAACGCCATTACAGCGCTACCATGAAAGAATGCATTGCGGTTGTCTGGGCCCTCACCCACTGGCGCCCATACCTTTGGGGGCGTCACTTTACGTGTAGCACCAATCATCAAGCGCTCACGTATCTGTACCACATGTAAGGCACGTCAAACATGTTGACGCGCTGGGCTATCGCACTCCAGAACTACGATTTCGCTGTCAAACACGTGCCGGGGAAACACAACGTCGTCCCCGACGCTCTGTCTCGTACTTCTAGCGAGGTTTATGGCAACCCCGTGCCGTCCGAACCAAGCCTTGCGGCGATCTGTCGCAACGTACCCGATGATAAACCATTCTGTCCCCCGGTTCCTCGCGATTACGAAGTGTCCTCACACAACCTCGATGAAACCGCCCCCGTCGAAAGCGATCGCGAACTGTTTTCGAGTGCTGTGTCCGTCTTTCCGGAAGTCGATTCTGTCAAACTGTTGGATCACCAAAAACGCGAGTTGCGCCAGTATTTAGATTGCCTCGCCACTCCATCACCCGTTCCTCCGAACCAGTCTAAGTCTAGCATGAGTTTTTCCTTCATGAAGGTTTGCCTTGTCGTTCGTACATCCCCGCCCACATACGCCGTCGGGCTCAATTCCGCGATCAACTCGTGGTCCCATCCTCCTTACGAACCCTCGTCATCTCCTCATGTCATGACCTTCCCTCCTCTGGAGGCTACCTAGCCGTCAAATGTACTTTCGACAAAGTTCGCGACCGTAACTGATGGCCAACGAAGCACTCCGAAATCACCCGTCAGGTTCAGAGTTGCGAATCATGTCAACGTCGAAAAACGTCACACCGACCGCCGAAATTGCCTGTCAGTTATCGTCCGGGAACGCAACCGTTTCAATGCGTAGCCGTCGATCTTGTTGAATACATGTCTCTCTCTGAAGGTAACCACTACATTTTGTCCGTGATCGATCATCTCACACGCTTTGTCATCTTGATTCCCATCAAATCCAAAGAAGCGGTTGTCATTGTCCGCAATCTAATCGATCGCGTCTTTTCGGTGTTCGGTCCTCCGGACACCCTGCATTCTGACCAAGGCAAGGAATTCGAAAACCAACTTGTGAAAGAATTGTAGTCTGTCTTCGGGTACAAGAAAACCCGCACCGCCGCGTATCGTCCTCAAAGTAATTCTGCCCTTGGGCATGTTCATAGCACCGTCCATAATATGCTCGCCATGTATAGCAATCTGGCGTGTGATGATTGGGCTGAACTGCTACCGTTTGTCCAGCTCACGTACAATACTGCGTTCTCCAAGACCTTGCAAGAGACCCCTCACTATCTCATGTTTGGTCGCGCGGCCAAACTCCCTGTCGATCTCATTCTTGGTGTCCCCGCTACGCCGGCTCCCCAAGCCGTCTTGATTACTCACGCCGTACCGTAGAGAATCGCCAGCTTGCATACGAGTTAGCTCGCCGCAATCTCACAGAACGCACGTCAAAACAAGCGGAAGCCAATGAGAAATGATCCTTCCCAAGCTTTTCATTCGGTGATCAAGTACTCGTCCATCGTCCGTGCACCGAATCAGCTGGACCCAACCCCAACCTCATTAGCCCTTGGCACGGTCCCTACACTGTCCGAGCACAACTCTCGCCCATCATTTTTCGGGTCTCAAAACCCAACGAGCCGATCGAAACCACCGTCCATGTGGGTCGTATGAAACCGTACGTTGTCCCCACCTTGTCTCCGGTCACGGATCCTGAAACACTCGACGAATTGTTTCTTGGAACGACACTTCCGTTGCCGGATCTTGACGGTTCTGAATCCCCAGTCACCCTCGGTCCGTATACCATCGAACTTATCGACGGTCACAAACGGGGGTAGGAGCAGCTTCCCTGGACAACTTCCAGTATCTCAAGTTGAAAGACTATCCTCCACAATTGGGCCTTTGGCGCCACTACCGTGCCATCCCCCGATGTGGTGAGATGATTGCTTCCTACCGTGCCGAAATTTGGTCCCAAGATCCCTCGGCGTTTTCACCCCCTCGGTGGAATACTCGTTCGTCGCCCGCCCCTGTCTGTATCACTTATGACATGGGCCTGTCTGCGCACCCCTTCGTCCAAACATCGGTCTGCAACCACCTTTGTCTGGCGCCCATATACTTGCTATATTTTTTCTGATTTTTTTTCCTGACCCGGCAGTATGTCTTCGAATTGTGTAGGTTCTATGTGTCTCAACTTGAGGGTCTCCGTACCCACATGGCGTTTACTTGGTACCCATTGTCTTTGGGTTCTGTGCGAGTACCGCGCACGCCTTGTACTTTCTTGTCCTGCTTCTTTGACGTGAATTTTTTGTCCTGTTGGTTTTTCCGCCTGGTGGTCTGACTTCGTCCCTTCATCTGACGCCCCGCATCGTCATGTGCGCTAGAGCACTCGCACTGCCAGTAAGATGGGCGCCATTTGAGAATTCCTCTGTCTCCACCCAGACACTCCAACACAGGCCTCGGCCTATCTGATTTTTTTTCGTGTGGATTCTGCGGTTGGCATCGTACTTGTATGAGGATCGTTGTCCCCATGTTTTTTTATTGTTTGATTTCGGAAGAGAAAATAATAAAACATGGTGGAAAACATCTTTGCCTCACAGGGTACCACACACTCTTCTCCTAACACGACGGGAGGGTCTGATGCACGACGCTTTGTCGCAGTGTGTACATGCCGATAGACTTGATATGTTCCGCGTTCCATCAAGTCTCGGTCATGCGACAATGTGTTTCAATTTTCTTGTCCATGTCCAACGTCAATCCACGACTGTCCTCTGTCTCTCGTCATCATTGACGCGACGCCTTGCTTGATAACCCGCATCATGTTATGCGCAAGAGCTCTGACCTAGCCTACAAGATGGTTGTTAACTAGCGCACCGCGTCACTTCGATGATGTTGCCATGCTGTCCATGTCTCACTTTGGTGGACTCATGTGCCCTGTCGCGTGCCATATCTCGTCTGGCCACGGTACGCCAACGTTGCCTTGCACATGTTTTGCCTCTCAGGATCTTCCCACTATGATTCCATATCCAGGGATGATGGTACACGTCGCGACCATTTTTCTTTTTCTTGTACGAGTCATAAGCCCTGCAGGCCACAAAGCTTCAATGTTTTGTGAATAAACTCCGTACTTTCCATCACTCCACTATATCCTTCCTTGTCGATCCTGCGATATTATTATTTGTCCGACCAAGCACTACCCGTGTTTCGTCCAATCGGTACACGTCATGTTCTCGGCTCGTCTGTTCCCTCCGGCATTTTTTTTTACAAATCAATGTTTCGACATTTGATTGTTCTTGAGTGAAGTCAATCTCATGTGTGTTAAACGTATTGTCAGCGAACCAGAACTCCTTGCTGTCGAGTTTTGGTTGAGTACGAGCTCTTAACACCACCAAAACTGAGGGGTGATGTGAGTCTCTGGTGTAGCTGTACGTACGTCCTACTCGAGGTCCCCTGTCCAACAGTTCCTCCGCTTGCTCTGCGGATCTTTCCGTGCGGTCCGCGCACATCCGTATGTCACTGCTGTATATACATACACATGTCCGCGTACGGCATCGCCCAGGCTGCTTACGACTTTGTCGGAAAAGAATATTCCGAGGAAATTTCTCGGTATTGAAAAAGGTTCAGAGTTTAGAACCTGTGAGGAGAACCCTTCATCGTTGCGGTGCTGGTGGGAAAAGGCAGGAGCGAAGATTCTAGCTCCTGGCTCGAAGGCTGAGCGAAGAATCGAAGCACTCGAGGAGATAGAAATGAGGCGCAGGAGACTGCACTCACGCGCCGCTTCTTCGTCGGTTTGAAATCCTGAAACTGAGCAGAGAGAGGCAGAGACGCCCATTTTTCTTTTCGGTCCCTCCCCTCCGTTCTCCCGGAGGCACGCGGCTTCTCTGCTTTCTCTCTCCCAACCGAGCGCTGCCGCGCCCCCCCCCTGGTCATCGCTGCTGCCGTCTCTACGTCCTCTCCCTCTAATTCGCTACGTGTTCCAGCAGACGATTTCTCGTGCTTTGTACTGAGGTGCACAGTTTCACGTGCACAGACGTGTGTATTGTTGTACAGAATGCACTTCGCAACCAGCTGTATTTCCGGTTCCGTCAACCCTGCAGGCCGCAGGAATAGCAACATCACGTCGACAAAAGTTCGACGTCAAATACAAAAAGCGGAAAGAGAAGAGAGACGGGAGTCAGCGGGCTGTAGTCGGGAAGAGTATGTGGGGCGAGGGTGTAGGAACGCCTTCTTTCGCCGTGCGTGCAGAAGCACGATTCCTCACCGCCAGGTGCCGCATGGTGTCCACAACGTCTGCCGGACTCTCCGACGTGACCTGGAGCAGATGCGAATTCACTACTCCGTCAGGGGTGAACAGCCCTTCTACTCCAGCCGTCTTTCCCGATGGCCGGACGATGAACACCTTGGAGCAACGGTCCGCTTCATCCGGTCCAAGCGCAAACCTCCAAAGCTGTTGGAAGCAGCCGATGAAATCTTCCTTCTTTGTGTACCTGATAAAAGTTTGCGAAGGTTAAAGAGTCAGTCCCGAGCACCAAGTTTGTAGGTGCGTAGGGCTGTACGTTTCGTCGGGAGTGCAATCTCTACGTACCAAGTCTCTACGCAACAAGCCGCCACGAAAACGAAGCATAGCAGCAAAATACACGCTGGCTAGTCCGAAACTCACGCGCTGATTCCCCTTCCACCGGGGAAGCAGAGTCTGTAGATGTTCTTCAGGTCATCCAGGGTTTTCTCGTTGAGGTCGTCCATGCCGCCACCGTTAAGTGCGCGCAGGAGCTCTCCCGCATCCCCCGTCTCGGGGGATCCTACCGGCGGCGGCTTTCCTCGTGCGGTCCGTAGCATCACGTTCGAAATGCGGTTGCGCCTTCCGAACGTTGGGGGCGCCTCCGTCACCCAGCGGAGGCGCGTCCTGAAAACCATCTTGGATATCATAGACATCTTCAGGAGCTGATGGCCAAGGTCGATGTCCACTAGTCTCTCCTATCGAGCTTGGTCGAA